CAAGCAGATGCAATAAGGGATAATCCATAATTAAACAATATATAAAATGCAGAACACCAAAGGCATAAAGAAGATCTGAAAAGCAGCCAGAGAGAAGAGACAGATTACCTACAAGGAAACAATGGGAATGTCAGCTGATTTTTCCATCACTCTTCTCTTTATTATTTCTATCTGTTTATGCTGGGTTTAATTTGCTTTTCTTTTTCAGGTTTCTTTAGACAGAAGCCTAGATCATCAATATTGATGGACTCTTGGGTTGCTTCTATATTTGGGCTATTGTGAATAATACTGCTATGAACATGTATGTATAAATCTCTTCAGGACTCTGCTTTCAATTCCATCCTTGTATTAATACTTTTAACCTATCTGGATCTTTAAAGTGGTTTATTGTGGACAGCATATAATTGGTTCTTGCTTTTCTATCCTATTTGTCTACCTGTACCTTTTAATGGAGTGCTCAGCCCATTTATAGAAATGCAATCATCAGTCTAGTTGAGTTTAAGTCTACCACTTCATTATTTGTGTTCTGTTTGCTCCATCTACCCTTTGCTCATTTTCCCCTCCTCTCCTGCTCACTTTTGGATTAACTGAGTATTTTTAAAATAATTATATTAATGTTTCTTGTTGACACCTCCAACTATGATTATAAATATGTCCATTTTTCCCTCCAATTCTCTCAGTTGTGCTTCACTTATTTTCAAGCTCTATTATTAGAAGTATAAATATTTAAGATTATGTCTTCTTTAGGAGTAGATCACTATCATCATAAAAAGTCCCTCTTTATCCCTGGTTCTATTCCTTCTTCTGAAGCCAACCTTCGTATTATTACCATCCAGGTTTACCATTATCCATGTTGTAGCATATGTCAGAATTTCATTCTTATCAGTTATTACCATTTAAAGATAGAGCTTTTTAGCTGTATCTCTTTTATTCTTTCAGTGTTTGCTCTAGAGTTTGCAGTATATATCTTTAACTTACCACTGTCTATCTTTAAATTACCATTTCATAGATAATATAAGGACCTTACAACAGTATTCTTCCATCCTCCCACCCTGCAGGTCAAGATGGCCAGGGACAGACCTGTGTTACTTATAGTTAAATGATTACAAGCTTGCTTTGCTTTTTATACACTGAGATTTGTGCCATGGATCAAACGTTGAATTAAAGAAAACTCCAGGGCCGGGCGCGGTGGCTCACGCCTGTAATCACAGCACTTGGGAGGCCGAGGCGGGTAGATCACCAGGTCAAGAGATCGAGACCATCCTGGTCAGCATGGTGAAACCCCGTCTCTACTAAAATTACAAAAAATTAGCTGGGCGTGGTGGCGCATGCCTGTAATCCCAGCTACTCAGGAGGCTGAGGCAGGAGAATTGCCTGAACCCAGGAGGCGGAGGTTGCAGTGAGCCGAGATTGCGCCATTGCACTCCAGCCTGGGTAAGGAGCGAAACTCCCTCTCAAAAAACAAAACAACTCCAAACTATGGTGCAGTAAAATACAAATTGTTTAAGGTCGGTAAAAACAGAAATCAAGCGGAAACAGGAGGCCTATAGTGAAGACCATCTGAGAGTGCTTTAAAACTGCGGAACGCTGCGGTGTGGTTCCAAGGCAACCAAGACTGTTTTGGTCCCATAATCTCTTCCCAACATATGGGCTGCATGAGGGTCTGTAAAAAGGGCTTGTGCAAGAACTCTGGGAAGGAATGCAACCTCTGCTCACAAGACTCTTGCAGGGCCGGAAAGCCTTTCAGGGCCGAGATAACTGGAACCCAACGCCACAGGCTCTGCCTATGATCTCAGAATATGGAGTAATTCTGATTGCTCTGTGTCCACAATGTTTGGGAGATAAAAGCCCCTTGACGCATTGTGTGTGGTCAGACCTTATGGTGCCTTATCAGCTGTGCCTCTTTACAGAGGAACCTTGATAAACAATGGGTGGTAAAACTCAGTGTTCTAAGTTAGCATTTCTTAGAAGAACCACATTTGCCTCCCCTCTCCACAGCCCGCAAGATTAACAAGATAATGCACCTAATAAAAGCGTGTGGAGCCCAGAGCTCAGCGCCAACAGTTCACCCCAAACTAGAGTGTCCCTTGGACCCATACTGTGAAATTCTACTCATCTTTGTTTTCTTTTCTCACTCCCTCCTCACCACAGGGACTGGGGCAATTCTAGTGCCTCAGCGTCCTGAGTAGCTGGGATTACAGGCACTTGCCACCACACCCAGATAATTTTTGTATTTTTATTTATTTATTTATTTGAGACGGAGTTTTGCTGTTGTTACCTAGACTGGAGTGCAATGGCACGATCTCGGCTCACCGCAACCTCCGCCTTCTGGGTTCAAGCAATTCTCCTGCCTCAGCCTCCCTAGTAGCTGGGACTACAGGTGCGCACCACCATGCCCAGCTAGTTTTTGTATTTTTAGTAGAGACAGGGTTTCACCTTGTTGACCAGGATGGTCTCGATCTCTTGACCTCGTGATCCACCTGCCTCAGCCTCCCAAAGTGCTGGGATTATAGGCGTGAGCCACCGCGCCCGGCTCACTATTTCTTTATATATGTTTTTCTTTCCCTTTTTCTTCTCAGACTCTAATTAGATTGCTTGATATATTATCCAGTGACTCACTGACGGTCTGTTCTCTTTCACCCCACAGTCTGTCTGTCTTTCTCTTTGTGCTTCATTTTGGATAGTTTCTATTGCTATGTCTTCAGGTTAATTGACCTTTTCTTTTGCAGTGTCTAATCTGTTAACACCATCCAATCGCTTTTCATGTCCAGAAGTTCCATTTTGGTCTGTTTCAGATACCTGTTTCTTTCCTCTTAATGTTCAAGCTTTCCTTTACATCTTTTAGTTTACTAATAAGATACATAATACGCATTTTAAGGTCTTTGTTTACGAATCCCATCATCTGTCAGTTCTGGATTTGTTTCTACTGACTGATTTCTCCTTATTTATTTTTTAATTATTTTTATTTACTTATTATTCCCTCCCTCCCTCCCTCTCTCCGTTCCTTCCTTCTTTCTTTCCGTTTATTTGACATAGGTTCTCACTACATTTGCCCAGGCTGGCGCAAGCAATCTTGCCACTTTAGGCTCTCTAGCAGTTGGGACTACAGGTACATACCACCATATCTGGCTTACATGTTTTATTTTTTGGTTTCTTTTTATGCCTGGTAGTTTTTGACTGGTGCCAGACATTGTAAATTTTACATTGTTGGATGCTGAATTTTGTTGTAGGATAAAGAGTGCTAGATTTTGTTGTAAAATGCAACTAAGTTACTCTTGGATTAATTTGATTCTTTAAAGCCTTCCTTTTAAGCTTTGTTATGGTGGGTCCATAGCATCCTTTATTGTGGTGCTAATTTAGCCTATTTGGGTATGACCATTTTGAGAACCCCACCAACACCCTGTATATTATAAGTCTCTCTACTCTGGCTCTTAGGAACACAAACTAGTCCCAGATCTGTGTGAGCTCCAGGCATTATACAGCCTACTGCATTTCACGTAGTTCTTCCCTTGGTTTCAGCGCATTTTCTCCTATGTGTATACAACTCTGTAGTCCGACAAAGACCCAAGGGGACCCTGCTCCAGATTTCTGAAGTGCTCACGCTCATCCTAGCACACTTTATTGTTTCTTCTTTGGTACTCAGCCTCATAAATCCTAGCCCCCTTGACCTCCCCAAATTCTGCTTTCTGCCTCCTCAATTCAGTGAGACAGCTGGGCTCAGTTTCCACATTCCGTACCTACACTGCAGTGTGAAAACTGCTTCAAGCCAGTACACTGGGGCAATAATACGGCTCACAGTGACTGTTTCCTTTCTCTCAGGGATCACAGTGTTGCATCATCTGTCTTCCGCTGTCTTGAAGGCCACAGTTTCTTTTTTCTAGTTTGTTTTCAGCAAAAAAGCAACTTCCATAGTGCTTCAGGTTTCTAAGAAAAATGTTCCAAGGCTTGTTTCGATGCTATGCCTATGTGTAACTTTCAGTCTTCATTCACAATCCTACCTATTCCCATTCACAACCCAAATTAGTAGACTGAGGTGGCCGATGTAAATTATGTAATCTGAGAGACAGACAGACAGATAGACAGAATAGGAACAAGTAATGAGCCTGATGCTGTGGTAGAAAACATGCTATCTAGACACCTGGGTTCTATAGCCCCAGTTCTGTCACTAACTGGGGATGTGCTTTTACTAATTTAACATCACAATGCCTTAGTTTCCCCACTACATATAACAACTATGGAATAAGACTATAGGTGCCTTTCCCACAAAACAATGTTACTCTCTTTATTTCTTAAATCCATTCCCCACCAGCTAACCCTTTTTTAGGACAAAGCTATAACTGGTCAAATTCTTTAGCATGCTTTCTACCCTAGAAGAATCAAACTGAACCAAGCGACGGAATTTTTGCCATGCCACAGTTATAATTAAAATAGTATAGCCAAAACACACGAATCTAGATTAAGTGCTAACTTCCAAATAAAACTTGTTTCTCTTCTGTACAAGTAGACACCAAAACCATTCCTTATTCAAGACAAATGCTCACTTTGCATTTTTTCTAAAGATCCATAGAAAATAATTTTTGTTTTATTATCAATACTAAGAATATCAACTTTTCCCTGCTAATTTCTTAGCTTACAGAGTACCTCAATACAGAAAGAATCTTATTCACTAGATTCATGTCCTTGGGCAATTAAAGAAGAATCTTTTATTGACAAAGCCATTTCCTAATTCTGCTTGGGGCAAAGAAGCCACATAGTAAACGATTGGTGGTTTCGTGGAAATCTTTACTCAAGCAGATTCTTCACCACCTATTTTCCTATGGACTTCCTAAGCCAGCCCTTTAATTCCTCATTCCCACCCTTTCTCTTTCTCTCTGTCTCTGCCTGTCTGTCTGTCTCTGTCTCTCTCTCATAGCTCAGTATTCTTTTCCACACCCAGGGAAGTGACAGAGCACAAAGCTGTAGGGAATAGTGCAGTGGGCAGAATTGCAATCAGCCATTACCTGGTGAGATCCAGAAGGCAGACTCTTTACAAGACCCTCAGTGTCGGAGGGGGACTTCCGAGGAGCCTGCTTAACTGGTGACAAACTCTCTGATGTACTGCAGCTGATAAATTGGCAATTTGAAGAACAAATTAAAAAATAAAATAAATCGAAACAAAAATATAGAAATGTAAGTGACACCAAGATGAAGCAACAGATGTATAAAAACAAAAGACAACAAAACAATGGGTATCAAAACAATCACATATTTTAAAACTATTTTCTATCCCTGACATTCACTCTTTCTTCTAAGTCAATGAACATTCATCACTGGGGAGGCACAGTAACAAATGTGGTACAACCTCTTCAACCCAGTTTACAAAAATCATATTGAGATTCTGGATACAATACACATTTATCCTTTTGCTGTTTGTCTTTTCCCCCTGCCATCAACCCTTCTTTGGGATAACAGTTTTAGGGAACACGCTCTATGGTACCTTTTAATAGCTTAATGGCAATTCCCTTTTATTATAATCAAAGGCAAACTTCTGAATGTATGTTTTCAATTACAGATATATATCTGGGAAAATCTTGGTTTATCTTGTTCCCTTCATATTTTTATTCCCTACCAATACCACAATCAAATCCCCTCAAAAACACAGGAATTCATGAATGAGACACTAAGGAATCCCATGTCGCACAGGGGAACCTTTTCAGGGGGACAGGAGGCTTTAACAATAAGCACTATCTCATAAACAAATCAGGGAAAGTGAATGCCCGGAAGTAAGCAAGCTGAGGTACAGTATAAGGATTTCTCCATGAGATGTGTCATCAGTACAGCTTAAAGCCTTCTGATGTATACTTTTTAAAACTTAGGAGTTTGGGGAGAATCACATTTAAAGTGTCATGACTAAGACCAAAGCATACCATGCATTCTGCAAACTGTTCCTTCTCTGAAATGGGAGGCTATATGCTCTGAACCCAAATGGCTTAATTATTCTAACACATAATCAGTCAGGATCTTCATTATTGATAACACAATACACGTATGAAAAAAGAAAACTAATGCACACACACACACACACACACAATGGCATTTTACACAAACAGCACATATATTCAGATGTGCATAAAACCTCTATGTAACTTGACAACCCAATTTCCTCTGGGAGGTATGCTCAGCATGTTTCCAGTACAAACATGTGGCATATTCAGGGACAAATCATAACAGTTGTTGGGTTAGCTCAGAGCTAGCTGGTTAGTCATCAACAAGGGAGAGGGGCTGAATACGTACACAGGAATATTAACGGCAACGGGCAATGTGATTAGTTACCATGTGTCTAGTGGGAGTGGAAGAGGAGACCCAGCCCTGTTTTAGTCCCAATGTGTCTTCTAAGTCAGCTTTTCTTAAGAAGTGGAAGATAAGCAGGATCTGATCCCAGCACACCAAGGTAGAAAAGGTAGGGAAGGAGGAAAAAAAACAAAGTAAGAACAGCAGCATTCATGACGCCATGCAGGAGTCTAAGGAACTCTTTCCTGCGCCTCATTAACCCCACAGCAAGAACTACAAACACCGGCATGTCACCACCCTGGATTAGTCTCATGTTGAAAACCAAAACCAAAAGTCCAGCTACATTTAATCATAAAACACTCACCATGCAAGGGGGCAGATACAGTCAGCAGAACAGAAGCATTCCAAGCAAGTAATACCTGAATTTGAACACTCAAACTTGTTAAAACATAGCACTCCTAAAAACTCTAGATCAGAAAAGATAGAGGTTTCCACCATCCACCTTCGAAAGAGTTCAGGACATGCAATCCTTTCACGTCACAGTCCCTTCAGGATGGTTACAAGTTAGATCTGTGTATCTGCAACACTGCTCATGCTACATCAACCTGAATCCAGCTTTCGCTCCCAGTCTTACCACATGAGTTCTACATAGCTTATACGGGTTAGCTTTCCAGCTGGAGTGGGGAAAAAGAAGGTCCTTTAATTAGACACACACCCTATGCTCAAACCTGTTCCTTTTGAGAAGCCATAAACTAAAAGGAAGTCTATGTTTCTTTATTGCTGACATATTTTGTTATCAACTCTTATTATCCCATTTTGGGTGAATGTAGCTAAGAATGATCAAAGCAATAAAGCTACTAAGCTTGGAGTGGGTAGGGGAATTACAGAAAGGAAAAGCCCTGCAACATCATCACATTGGGCTGGAGGAGGCAGTTTACTAAAACCACTTCTTTTTCTTCTCTCTCTTCTTCTTCTTCTTTTTTTTTTTTTTTTTAAGAAACAGGGTCTTGCTGTGTTGCCTAGGCTAGATTCAAACTCCTGTGCTCAAGCAATCCTTCTGCCTCAGCCTGAGTAGCTGGGACTACAGGTGCATGCCACTGCCTCCAGCTCACAACTTCTTAATTATTTTTAAGAATAATTAAGTTTAATATTTACCCAACTGGAAAGAACCACCTTGTGAGTTTATTACCAAGAAATTGAAATTAAATTCTTAAATTGGGTAAGTGATGTCTTAAGAATATTTTTTTTTTTTTGAGATGGAGTTTCGCTCTTGTTATCCAGGCTGGAGTGCAATGGCGCAATCTCGGCTCACTGCAACCTCCGCCTCCTGGGTTCAGGCAATTCTCCTGCCTCAGCCTCCTGAGTAGCTGAGACTACAGGCACGCGCCACCACGCCCAACTAATTTTTGTATTTTTAGTAGAGACGGGGTTTCACCTTGTTGACCAGGATGGTCTCGATCTCTTGACCTCATGATCCACCCGCCTCGGCCTCCCAAAGTGCTGGGATTATAGGCGTGAGCCACCGCGCCCAGCCGGCTTAAGAATATTAATTGCACAGTGGATAGTACTGAAATACAGAGCGCAGACTGCTGAGCAACTGATCCCACCAAATCTAAGAACAAAACTGGAACAGAGATTAGAATCATATTCCACATTTAATAGCAGGCCCACTGATTTGTGCTTGCCCATGTTAGAACACCTCCTAAGAAGACTGCCTGATTCTGACATGAAAGAAAACAGTAGTTAATTCTTCAAAATCCTTTTTTCATTAAATACAAGTTTCTATAAACCCTGATTCCCTCCCTCCACCCCTGCCCTAAAAAACAGTGTTTCTTACCCAGTGTAATCCCGTTTAGAGTTTTTCCTTCTATAGAGGACAGCCAGAATCATGCTGATGAGCAGAATGAGACCTACGACCACAGCAGTAACTATGCCCACCACTACCCAAACTGGAAACACAGGCAAACTCTCTAGAGAGAAAGAACAAAATGGTTTTAAGGTACATTGCTACAGAGAGAAACATGGGTTTTTATTAAATTAACAAGCAAGTATCTTCCTTCAGCAGTTACCGCACCCTCTTTTATTATCCAAATTATGAGATCCTACTATCTATCCTATTACCATCTAATTCATGACACACGAATATTAGATTAGAAAGAATGAAATATGAAACTAAGCATTTCTACACCCACAATCCCTCTAAAGTGCTCTAAAGAAAAACTGGAGGTGTGAATTTACCTCGATCTACTCCCAACAAAACAGGCTTTGTCTCGAAAATGAGACACCAGAACCTGCATTTCCTGTTCTTTCTCAAAATCAAAAAGAATAAATAAGTGTGCTATTGTTGAAAATGTAAACTTTCTCCTGGAGAATATAAAACAGTATTAATCTCCTTCTTTCCACTGCCCATCACATCCAAACATAATGAATTTGGTCTTTCTTCTAATTAAAACTGAAAAATTAATACTCCTGAAATTAGACCAATGGCTCCAGACAGTAGAATAAAAACGGAGAAACCCACTACTCTGGGTCAGAATGAGCAACAGTTCCCCAACTCTGTTTGGTAGAGCCACAGGTCCATGGCAACAGGGAGCACAACTGTAACGCAAAAATCTTCCCTCCAAACCCACCTTGAAATGACACTCTTGTCCTCCAACCGAACATGAGATAAAGGAGACTCCATTATTACTGCCAAAATACCCACGGAAGTACCTTTTTCTATGACATAGAGCCTAATGTGTCCAGGCTGGGCAACGATGTCAGGAGGGTTTTTGACATCACAGATATAGGTGCCATTGTGTATAAACTGCATGTTTTCTATGTAGATTGATGCATCTTTCTTGTCAAGGTCTCCAGCCCAGTTGGTTCTGTCTTTAAATGGTGGATAATTCCCAGGGTACGCATTCCCTTGGGAATAGTGGAAAAACTGCAATTAGAAAAAAGGAACACATGAACTATTCTCAAAGGCAGAATTCCTAAACTCTGTAATATGCATGCTATGAAAGGTTCTTTTAAAGACTTCATACTGAAAGAAATGTAACAGCACATTACAAATCACAAGTTATGGAATCGAAGCCAGACAGAAGTTTAGAGATCATGGGGCTCAACTCTGCCAGGTTTTAATGGAAGAATCAGACTCATATACCACCACTAATCCTCTCAATATTTCACGGATATAATTATTACCACCCATAATTTTATAAAAGACAAAATAGAGACATAGAGAAGTCATTTTCCCAAGGTCCCAATGATAGTAAGCTGGGGACCCAGAGTAAACTTTAGGCCCATCTGAGTCTTCAAAGCCAGTGCTCTTCCAATAACACCATGACTGAGCCCAGTGATTCCCTAGGCTTCAGAAAGCTTAGTGTTCACTTAGCTTGCCACTAAGATGCACAGAGGCACAAAGGAAAAGAACCCTAAATATCACAGATCAGTTAATCTGTGGGGTTCTCCTCTTCCTTCCGGTTTGCTATGGAAAAGTCACGGGTGTGTGAAAGGAACAAAGCCCAGATAACACAAGCTACTCTTTCTGGCTTTCAAAAGTTCAGCCTTTGGACTCTTTCTCTTTGCACTCCTCACTTTCTCCTCAGTCCTGCTTTCAGCAAAGGAACTGTTTTCTCAAAGCAAACCTTGTCAAGCTCAGCACCGTGGAAGCAAGGTAAGGCCTAGTGGGAGGGGATCTATCCTCACACTCAGCTCTAATCCAAGCACCTATCCTGGAGGCCTGATGTGTTTGTTTTGGTTCTGGACGGGGTGATGGTGGGGCTGAGGGTAGAAACCAGTTTCACTAGCAGTTCCTACAGAACATTTTCAGAGCCCTTTGAGCACGCTGAAAACCCCAGTGCAGACTCATCCATTCCCATGATTTAATGATCAACTAGATTTTCTTACTCCTAAACCTCTCTCTCCATCGATCACATCCCTTAAGCTCTAGACTCCTTGCCCAATTGCTGCCCACTTTACCACCTGGCTTCCCTTCTCCCCCAAACTTGTCACCTTTTCCTACAAACTTCATCTTCCTGTCTTCACGTATCCCATTTTCACTGATGGCTACTGTTTCTTTCCTATACCATAAATCTTGGAATAATCCTTGATTCTCTTTCTTCCCAGCCAGTTAATCCCCCAATATTGTCAATCTGTCTCATTAGTTTCTCTTAGTTCTCGCCTCTCTCTATTCAGTTCCCTCTGATAATATCTGCTTTGACGCTTTCATCATATTGGACTATGGCCTCTTAACTGGTATGGCTAGCTCATCATCCTCCACAATGCCTAAATGATCACTGATAAAGAATAATGGTTACTATTATGAATATTTATAAAAATATTTGCTCTATATTTCATATGACTTAAATACTTGTTAAGAACCATGAAGGGTCTGAGATTTTACCCTACTTGCAAGCTAACAAAGTTAGTTGGCCACGGGTTCATAGATGCTGAGATGCTGTCAGAAGACACAGACTCCTGTGAAATCTTGACTCCCTTTAAGAAGACTCATAAACAAATGTGTTTGTTCCCCTTGCCCCTCAAGTCCCGCAGCGATGACAGGGAGGGGCCCACATGGATGTTGTACAAGCAGAGGCACTGCATCACTGCTGAGGAATCCCAAGCTCAGGGAACACGAGTCTCTTACGAGGGGCAGAAGACATGTCTGACTTTAGCCCTGAAGGGAGACACTACATTTATATACTAAAGAGTAAACAAATCTGTCCTCTGCTCCAGAGGGAAACATCATCTCTGTCTTCCAAGGCTAGTTACTGCACGAAAAAAGTCCAGAACAAAGGCAGCCAGTGCCTTTGCTAGCAAGGTGTGCAAAACATGAAAGACCCATAGAAAACTGTCTCTCAGCAACTCTCTAACCCTCACAACCACTAGTATTTCACAAATAGGAAACGCGAGGCTCAGGAAGCCTTGGTGACTTTCCAAAAGTCACAGGTTTTAGAGATGGACTTCAAATCCAGCTTTGATTTCAATGCTTATACTATTTCCTATGTTTAATGTCTCTCATGTGAGATCATGTCTTATCTGTTCTAAGCCCTTCACTCTTTCTTCTTCACTAGAAAATGAACGATAAACTCTCAGTTTTGCAAAGGAATCCTTCTATCATCTGGTCTCTGCCTTCCCGTCCCACAACATCTCCACACATTCCCTGCCCCGCATTTCTGAACCAGCGGGGATGAGCTGCACGATGCTGTTTCCCACCACTTGGTCCAAGACGGCTCCCTCATTGACTGGGGGCCTTTTAAGGCAGGGGATAAGTTGTATTTATCTCTCCTTAGCATTTAGCACATAGCAGGAACTACAAAGTTTGCTGAATCAAACTGAGGAATAGTGCCTTGGTCAAACCAGTGAGAGATGAAAATAAAATAGTGAAAAATTCACAGAAAAGGCTAGAAATCATTATCAATCAATATTTTTAAAGTATAAGCCATGGTGCTAAAGCTGTAAGGAACACTAATGATGTGAGACAGGCATGTCCTCTGAAAACACCTATATTGAGGATGAAGAAGAGGAAAACTGTCATATTAAGGGATCTGTATTATAGGAGTGGCCCAGATAAGGGTAGTGAGCTTTATGAGCTAAACTTTTTTTTTTTTAAATGAAAAAAAAAGAGGCCTTATGGAGGAGTCAGAAGGTAAAGACGGGGTACAGCTTAAATGGCAAGTGTTCAGAAGTAGGAAAACAAAGCACAAAGCATTTTTACTACACTGGAAATGATTCCATAAGAGAACAGAAGCGAGGCTAAAGTGGTAGGCTGAGCCAAAGTGTAATGAGCTTTTAATTCTAGACAAGTGTTGTCAGCAACAGGGATCTAGGTTTCTGACAACCTGCAGTGGCAAGGTGAAACTGTTCTAAGACTACGCACCTGCTGGCATATAAGGGTTGAACTGAAAGATGAAGAAACAGAAGCAGAAGAATAACAAGGGGCTAATGCACAAGACCAGACACACAGTTAACACTGCTGAATAGACAGCAGAGATGCAGGAAGGCTGACAATAAGCTAGACACCAGAAACAAAGTAGGAAGAACCAGCAACGTTCTTATTTCTTGGGGACAGAAGGGATGTGGTAGGGGATAGGGAAGGAAAGGACAGAAAACACAAAACAAAACAAAAATGATCACAAAAATAATCTCTAGAAGAACACGACTACCCTAAAAAAAATGAGTTCTGTTTCAGACACATGGATCCCAAGGCCATGGCCAGAAAAGCCATCTATATTATGGCTTTTGAATATAGTGGGTTTGAATATACTTTTCCTGTAAAATCTATGAAAACAAAAAGCAACCTACTCATCTTATTAAATGTGTCCCCAACATTTTGGAATTAAAAGATCCTATGTTGATAACTGAACATGCTGGGATTAACTGCAATCAGACTCATAAGTATAAATTGATTAGCTAAAAATATTAATCAGAAATAGAGCATGTTCTTAATATTAAGTCTTGAGTTATGTAAACCTCCATGTACTCACATTACAAGAGTGTTTCCAGCATAATGGAACCACTCTTTAAAAGAAGGTTATCACCTTTGGGTGTCTGCCTGATGATTGCCCGATTTTCTATAAACTTTAATAATGGCCCTCACACCCACTCTTACAGAAGACTTCAGTGGGAAATCTTTTCAAGTTTAAATAGTTCTTTGGACTCTCGAGTAAACTTATGTGTTTAATCTTGCCTCTATGGGAACATTAGTATATGTTCTATGCTGATGCCATATTTACGTGAAGCAGGAGAATGCCTTTGCATGTCTTCCATGATAGATTCTGTGCTCACACTTATGGCTAATAGAAGGGAGGGCCTCTCTTATACAGACCTCTAGACAGCTGGGTGTGGTGGCTCACACCCGTAATCACAGCACTTTGGGAAGCTGAGGCAGGTGGATCACAAGGTCAGGAGATCAAGACCATCTTGGCAGACACAGTGAAACCCCGTCTCTACTAAAAATACAAAAACTTAGCTGGGGGGTGTGGCACATGCCAGTGGTCCCAGCTCCTTGGGAGGCTGAAGCAGAAGAATCACTTGAACCCGGAAGGCAGAGGTTGCAGAGAGCCACGATTGTGCCACCACACTCCAGTCTGGGTGACAGAGCAAGACAGCATCTCAAGAAGAAAAAAAAAAAGACCTCTAGTCTATGCATTCTCCATAGGGGGGATTCTCCCCCAAGGGGGCAAACACTGGCTCTTGGGTGAAAAGGTTTGAGAAAATCTTACTCTTTTATATGTAAAACAGATACAGAGGATATCTACAACAATAAAATTTCATGGAAGGGGGCAAAGATTAAGAAAAAATGTCAAAAAGGCTCCTTTTAAAAATAAATTTTAAAAAGCACTGAGAAGCACTGCCTTAGGTAGTCCCTAAAACCTATGAGGCAGTAAATATTATTAGCAGATTTTTCTACCTGAGAAATAATATGTAAGGGAAATCGTACCGTATTGCAGTTTAAACAAACCTAAGCTGTGTGGTCTGGCCACGGGTGAGTAACTCTCCAGTCAGTGTCTGATCCTCCCCACCCCGGCTTCCTCGCAGAGCCGTGAAGGTTAAATGGCACAGGCAGATGATGGACCCAACACCTAGGTGGTGATCAAGAAATCTACCTATTTAGAAGAAGAGTTGGGTATTCTTAAAGATAGATGGCAGACTGTCCTTAACCTGAAATGTGCAGCGACAGTGCCAAAATATGTGCCAATATTTGAAGGGCATTTAACATGCTGGGAGAGCAACAGTAACAACAAATTATGTGTATTAGTAACTCAAGAGCTAGACCCCCTCCTGAGCACTCATCTTGTATAATCTCACTTTATCCTAATACCCCTGTTACAGACAAGAACTAGTATAGTCAGTGCATGTTTGATAAACACCCACTGCATAACCGGCACTCCACTAGTTACTAACTAACCTTTTTCTCAACCCTCTGGTGCTATATTTCTGTTACATCCTTCATCTCACTCCAAAATCATCTATATATCAGCCTTTCCCTTAATCATCTCTGGATAAGAGTAAGGATTCTGTTTTAGACATTTTTGAAGGCCCTACATAACCTACTACGTAGAAAGATCCCAATCAATATTGCTAAGTCAGAAGGACTGTATGTTAAATTAAAAAAAAACCAAATCAGAAGGTATATAAGGTGTGTATATATATATATATAATTTGGGAACACATAAAATAAATACCAATAAATATGGGGCAATGAAAGATGCAAAGATGCAGGATAAATCCTGATTAGAGTCACTGTGGTTAATTAAGATCAATTTCAGAATGGGATTTGATGGTGGAGAGGAACTGAAGGGATGGCAAGGGGAGAATCACATGCAAAGACAAGGAAACCAGCTGCATTTAAGAGATGCTGAACTTATTTTTTCCTGGAAAGTTTGAAGCAAGAGAAGAGCCTTGAAGTCTACAATAGATAACAAATACACTCATTTTGAAAATGAGCAATCGGAAGAATGGATTACTAATTATACAGCAGTAAAGAAACCTGTGAGGTAGGACTAGCCAAGAGCAGTTAAGCATTCTTACCGACACGGCCATGTCAGCCCCCTCTGGCTGGAAGCTCCAGGAGACTGAGGTCAACCTGCCAGTGGTATTCGTAGACTTGAACTTGCAGGTCAGCTTCCCTTGTGTACCATTTGCCACGAAGATTTCTTTTGGTGTATATACTTCCAAGGCTGATACTCCAGCTATCACTGAAGAGAAAGGAATAAGGGTAGTTAAAAGTAGGACTTAGCATGAATAGCACTGTGCATTTTTGCCAGACAAGAAAAGATACAGGAAAGTTCCTAGATATATACAGTAATTCACTGCCATTATATATTTCTGGCAGAATATTCTATAGCTAAGTACTTCCTACAAACAGAACAACTGCTGCTAGTTTAGGTTTCTATTGCTTTTTAGTTAAGACATTTTTACCAGTTTGGCTATATTAAATGTATCTTTTTAAATTAACAGACTTTTAAAAAGAGCAGTTTTAGGTTTACAGCAACATTGAGTGGAAAGTAGAATTCTCATATTCCCTCACTCCTCCCGGCCACCCTGTTTCCTTATTATTAACATCTGGCATGTCCATAGTTTACATTAGGGTTCGTGTTAGTGTTGTAGATCCATGGATTTTGACAAAGGTGTATAGTGACGTCCACCTTTACAGAATCATACAGAATAGTTTCACTCCCTAAGCATCTCCTGTGCCACACCAATTTATTCCTGCCCTCCTTTCCCCTACACCCCTGGCAAACACTGACCTTATACTGTCTCTATAGGTTTGCCTTTTCTCAAATTTTTACCTAGATAAAATCACACGGCATGTAGCCTTTTCAGGTTGGCTTCTTTCACTTAGTCATATGCATTTAAGTTTCTTCCATGTGTTTTTGTGACATGGTATCTCCTTTCTTTTTATTGCTGAATAACATACAATTGTATGGATTTATGACACTTTATTCATTCACCTACTGAAGGACTTCTTGGTGGCTTCCCTGATGATCTATTTTTAATGACGTGATAGACATATTTTTACGTCTTTAAGTTGTCCTTATGCTCATCTGTTATGCTGCAATTGTTATCACACTGAACTTTTCTCCATATGTAAAGAAATTAAAACTATCCTTAGCTATCACTTCATTTTAAAGCCATATTTATTATTTAACCAATCTTTTTCCTATAAAGAACTTAAGGTAGAAAATGCGTATTTTGGTTTTGTTAGTGAAATTATACCTACCATAATATTTCAGTGTGCTAGGTAAGTATGTACTTAAGAAACAGCTGATTGCACTGTATATCACATTGTCACTTCACCCATCAAGTTCTGTCAGTTAGCCTAAGCCCAGGAAACAGTAATTAAAATGTGTCTACCACTTGGAATATAAAAATGGCTTTTTTTCAAGATCTGCAATCATAGGCAGCTGCAGAACTCTTAAGGACTGCTACTAAAAGTATTTGCCAAATTGTTAAAGATTGCTAATTTGAAGATACTTTTATTGCTATAAAAGAAATGCTTTCACAGAGAAAATAAAAGTCAGAAAAAAAACTTATTTGGCCTAAAATTGTTAAGAATACCCACCTTCAATATTTTTAAAAGAAATAGTTTGCATCTATTTCTGCAAGATATAAATATCTGCAGTGTTGCAATTATTCTCAGAATGCAACAGACAGGCAGAATAAGGAAGAGTATTGTCAGCCAGGACTGATGGTCATTTACAGAATTTTTTCTCCTTGAGGACTTAACTGACTCTCAGCCAAGGAGAAAAAGAATACTCCCCCATTCCTCCCAACCATCTTGCAAATGTTTATTCTCAGGACACAATGGGCACTTTTGGCTATTCTTTTAAATAAACTGATAGCCATACTGCATCAAACAGATTTTTTTTCTGCTAAAGAGGGTGGATTATTATTATAGGGAACAATAGATTATTATTTGTGGTCCAAACCTCAAAACAAGCATTTCTTTCAGAGGAGATGCAAACAAAAGAGTTCCTTGCTATTGTGGGTAGGCAGAAAAGCAGCCTCAGGGCACTTGAGTTCAAAATGAAGGACAAAGCACAAGACTAGACTAGCAGAGCAGCTTATTCCAGGAAGCAGCACTGGCTTGCAACCCTTATTCAGTCTGCGTGATTTTGACTAGTTTTCTCCATGGTGATAAGCACTGGAAAGCCACGGTCTCTAAAGTCTATAATTAAGGTTTCTCAAGGATTTTCTTAAACCAGATCCCTGCCTCAAGGCCTGGTTGCAAGAACTGTCATCCTGGGACACAAGGATGGAACTAGACCAAGTGTCCAAGTTTACAGTCACAGAATTTTGAGCAAAAAGACTAACCAAATTCCCAAACGGCTTTTAGGCATCTATTTAAGACAGAGATTTTGTTATACCAAAGCTAGTTAACAGACAGGCGGCTTAAAAAAAAAAAAAAACAACATTCATTGGCTAATTTGAAAATGTAGCTCTTAGCCAGGATTGTGAAATCCAATGCTAGCCAATCAGCTAGCTCAAGAAAAAGAAAATGGCTCCATACACAGGGAAATTAACTTCCTCTCATCGCTGGCTATCTACGCTTTCCTCTAATACTACTCTTGTCATCGTTTTCGGAGATTTCATCAGTCGTAAGATAAACCTTCTAAAACCCTAGTCCGTTTATCTTCTCCTATAATCCGGTTACATAAGATCAGGCCTACCCCAGCCACTCATTCCTTATGGCCATACCTGTTCAATCAAGTTTAGCCTAAAGCTGCCTCCTTACATATTTTAAGTTCAGCCTAAGGTTTTTCTATACCCTATGAACTATAACAAGTGTAGGTATAAACAGACTGTAGCCAATGACTTGTGCCAATCACCAAGTTTTAGCCAAATGTCGCTAACTGTTCGAACTGTGCTCAAATAAGGCAAACGCCGAGATATAATCAATCCAGCTGTTTCTGTACCTCACTCCGGTTTTCTGTATGTCATTCTCCTTTTTCTGCCCATAAATTTTCTACCACGAGGCTGCGCTGGTGTCTCTGAGCCTACCTTGGCTCAGCAGGCTGCCCAATTCATGATTCGTTCAATGCTCAATTAAACTCCTTCAGATTTAATTCGACTGAAGTTTTTCTGCTACCCTACCCCCTAAACCAGGGCTTCTCAACCTCAGCACTTCTGACAATTGGGACAGATAATTCTTTGTTGTGGGAAACTGTACTGTGCCTTGTAGGATGCTGAACAGCACCCCTGGCTTCTGGTAGTTAACAACAGCATCTCCCCTGCCTCCAGCTGTGACAACCAAAAATGTCTCCAGATACTGCAAATGCCTCCTCAGAGGTGAAATCGCCCCGGCTGAGAATCACAGCTCTAGACCCCATCATCAGTACCTGGACCCACTCCAGAACTGCAATTTCAGGATTTTCTACTCCCTAACTCATCACCTCTTGTCTTTTCAATATCCTCCAAAACCGTAAGTTCACTGATCCTTAGGCTGCATCAGAAACTAAAATCCCAGCATGTCATCATTCGTCTTACTCGGATTAAATCCCATGGGCCACCATTGAACTCACCCCTGTGCATGCAAAATCGGCTCTCCCACCTCTCCCTTCAGTGCTGTCACCTAGCCAAACCGCCCTTCTGGTTAAATCCAATTCTCTACCCACTCTGCAACTCTACCAGAGTGGCTGACCATGGCTGGACAAAAGCACACAATCCCACTGCCTATTTTCACCTTAAATTTATGGTCACTGACCACAAAGGGACTCTTAATGGGGTCTGGCAATCCATCCACATTGCCCTAATCCATCTGATTTCCATCTCCCTAGAGGACTATTTTAGACCTTCCTCTCTAACCTCAAATTTCCACTTCTTCAGGTTTCTCACTCCCGTATAATGACTAAGTTTCTTATTTCATTGAGAAAACAAAAGCAATGAGAAGAGAACTTCCCTATGTCCAGACACCACAGCTACCCAACTCCCCGCATCTGTGCTCGCAGGTTCTGCTTTCCCTACACTCCTATGTCGGAGTGACTTTCTGTATTCCTCTCCAAAATCAACCTCTCCACTGCACATTACATCTCATCTTTTCTTGCCTACCGAAGGACATTCATTGGTCCAGCAATTCCCCTTCTTCTGAATTTTCACTCACTACTGAATTACCACCAGCAGCCATATAAACATACATATTTATATTTAAATGCCAGGTTTAGAGGAAAAACCTTCACCTTTCATCTCCCTGCAGGCCCCTTCGTCCTCCTTTATTTTACCAATCTTGAAAGAACTGTCTGTTCACACTGTCCAGTTTCTCTCCTCTCTTGAATAAATCCAATTTAGGCTTTCATCTCTGTTACTCCATAGAAACTGTTCTTGTTAAGGAATGCAATGACCTCCATGGTTAATTCTCAAATCTTGTCTTACTGCCTTATCTGAAACCTTTGACAGTTACTCCCTCTTGAAACTTTTTTTCTTTTTTAACAGTTTAGCTGTTGGAAAGCCTCTCCCTCTTGATTCTCTTATCTCATTGACTGCTCATTCCCTAGTTCTCTTGACTGCTATTTGATTAAGAGCCCAGATCATTTCTCATACTATTTATCTGTTTAACATTCCTTCTCTTGGTGACCTCTTCCAGTTTCAAATGCTCCCAAATGCTGATGACACCTACACCTACACACACACACACACACACACACACACACACTCTCTCTCTCTCTCTCTCTCTCTGCCTACGCAACTTCACTTGGATATAATTGGCATGATCTCAAATTTAGTGTGTCCAAATTAAACTCGTGATTCCCACCCCCAAACTTCCGTTCCATGGTCTTCTCCAAATCAGTAAATGGCAAAGCCAGTTTTCTAGTGGCTGAGACCAAAACCCCGGACTGTTTTGTGACTCCTCTCTTTCGCACAACTTTCCTCCAAGCTGTCAGCTACTTAGAAACCTGCTAGAAACTGATCTCTCTCTGCCTCATTTAGTGTCACCATCTTGGTCCAAGTCACTGTCATCTTTCACCTAGATTAAATATCGACAGCTTCCTAACTGGTGTCTGCCTCCTCCAGCCTTCCCCACTTCATAGCAACTGGTCCACAGAGAGGCCAGAGATCTTGCTAAAATTCAGGTCAGGTCATATCACTCTTCTACTCCAAATCTTCTTAGGGTTTCCCATTAGCCAGGATCAGGCCAGTCTTCATGTGGCCCACGAAGTCCTACATGACCTAACTCCTGGCCACCTCTCGGACTTCATTG